CGTGACTTGGGGGGCCGTTTCGCGAACTGAATCGCATAGCCGAGTCTGATTGTGCGTATGAGCCACCGCGAAGAGCTGGCCCGCGCTAACCAGGCAGGCAGAGCTCTCGCTAATGGACTCATCGCTACAATCGCTGACGTACCAGCAGTGGGGCAGCGCGGAGTGGGTGTGCTGATCCGGGAAGCTCGCGGGTCCCACGGAAAAGCTGGAGGTGAGATATTTGCTCTCACTCCAAACCCGAGCTCCGGAGGGGAGGCTCGAGGGGTGGGAGAAAGGAGACCGTCCTCCCAGCGCTCGTGAGCCACTGGCGAAACGCACCGAATCTGCAAGCTAGAAAGCATAGCGTCCCAGACTGGCAGATTTCGGGCTGTCACATCTGGGGAAGTGAAAAGTGCCCTTTCATAATGTTTTCATGGCAGTAAAAAGTGCCGTTGGAAATGGGGCCCCGCCCTCCAGCGGGGAAAGAGCAAGTTCCCTCTTCTCCAGATGGCCTGTCCCAGGGGCGCTTCGCGGTCCGTTGCCGGACTTAGCGGCGTTCTGGGCAGGGGGGCTGCCTGCTTCCGAGGTGCCCGACGCGCTCGCTTCGCCTTAGGCGTGTGCGGGGGCGGAGCAGCTCTCGTAGGCGGGCGCCTTCGGCGAGGAGCAGGTATGAATGGCACGGCGGGCGGAGCGGGCTACGGACCGCCGATAAGACATCACCCACCAACTGCTCTCTCACCGCCTTGAATTCCTGGGTGAATTCACAGACAGTGTCGCCGAACCTGGCTGGGGATATGGGGAAGTCAAGAAAGCGGACTTTGTCGACTTTGCGCATATCAGCCAGGGGTGGCGCTCCTGGACCACTAATGTGGACATCGTCCTCCCCAACGCACACGCAGCGGACTCAGTAGTCCGAAGAGCTAAGTCGGCGGCGGTGCGAAGCTCGTAAGCCTGGGTTGGACCCACCCTCGTGCAGCTCGGCCAGCGCCTGCGCTTGGTAGCGCTGGTAGGTGGCTATCGCATGCAAGGCGGAAGCAGCCTGGCCCGCAGCTATGTAAGCTCTAGCTCCGAGGGAGGTAGATAACTTACAGGCTTTGGATGGGAGACGAGGCGGATCCCGCCAAGAAGAGGCGCCGCGCGGATTTACCGCCATCGCGCACTCAACCTGAGGAATCGCCACATACCCCCTGGCTGTTTCACCGTCAAGAGTGGTTAGGGTGGAGGGACACGCAGCACGAGCAGAAAAAAGTGCTTTACAAGACCGCGTGAGCCTACTGTGCACCTCCGGGAAGAAGGGAACGCCCCTCTAGTCGGTCCGGCCGCGGAGCTGGGGGATAAACCATCTCCAACCCACGGCCGAAGCAGCCCGGGAAAGCACGGCTAACATGTCCGTTTCAGGATCCGTAGTGACATCAGCGCTCACCAGCCCGAAGGGGGCGAGCGGGTCTGGATCATCATCGGACAATGAAAGCCCACCCTCCGATGCCGCGGTGGACATCTGGTCTCCGGTGTCATCGGGCGTAAGGGCTACCATCTGTTAGACGGATCGCTTCCTCCGCCCGAAGCTTGGATGGAGCGCTTAGAGGAGCGGGAGGTCCGCGGGCCCGTGGGCGACGGATTATCTCTCGCTGAAACCCTCAGATCTGCCCGAGTGCCCGCTGCAGAGCAGGGGACAACTGGGGTGGTTCGCCTTTTTGCAAAGGCTAACCGCGATCTTGCGCAACAGTCATGGCATCGCGATGACGACATGAACTGCCCGCGAGCAGCGCATTAACATGCTGGACCCCCAGACATGTAACACAGTGCCCGCGCCCATCATCCGAGGACAGGAAACCACCGCATCCAGAAACGCACAGTCGGAGCGCCGTCCTGATAAGGACGTGCTGCACGACTGTGTTGCTCTTTCTGTGAAGTTTGCAACTTTATACGCACCGCTCTGGAGGACCGGACCCAAAGAACGCCAGGCAAGGGAGAAACCCAGCTCGACCGTCTGCCACTGCGTGTACACACTCTGGACCGGGAGAATGCTCTCGTTCGCTCAGAATCGCTGGTCACAGCAGGAGGAACCCTCATCGACTCGATCAGAAAGTCTCTGAAGCGAAAAGGATAGCGTCTGCTGCGCCAGGTGAGCTTATATACTCAGTTGATTGCTTATGCCGCTCACCTGCGCAGGCTTGCGCTGCCAATTCATTCTTAATTGGCCCGTTCAATACTCTTTCAGACGAGTAGCTTCTGAACCGAACCTCCCAATGCGTGGATTTTACAATCAAATCCACTTATAGTGCTGAAGTTCCCCCCGAAGGGGAACGATAGAATCACCACAATAGATCAATTACTATAGTTGTTGTGTTACCATAGCAACGACAGAATCACCACAATAGATCAATTACTATAGTTGTTGTGTTACCATAGCAACTGTAGAATTGCCACAACAGATTAATTCAAGTACTTTACTACAGTATGGCCAAGGTGAAAACACAATTCAACTTTAATTTTTCCTTTTATTAAATAATTTGTTTGTAAGCTTTTCAGCATAATTGTTTTTCATAATTCGTTTTTATTAATAATAGTTGTTAGTATTAAGTTTCATTAGTTACTGCATATGTAATGCCAGACAGAATCTGTGGACCTTCATTTTATTTTTTGCTATTTTTGCGCTACATTTTGTAAAACATCAGCGGACTTATGCATAATGGTTTTGCAGTAAAACTGAAATAAAAAAGAAAGAGTAACTTAACTTTTATTCTTACTTCAATTAAAAAACAACTTTTTTGCTAAAAAAAAAAGCAGGTTTCCCATAAAACTTAAAATATTACTGTAAAACTGTATTGCACAAATCATCTACACATCTAAACATCTGTATATTGTTTAATATTATAAATATAAAATATACACAAAATTCTTATAGAAAAAACAAACAAATGTGTAAATGTACACATTTAATAAAAAGTAAAATAGATTGAATGATGGCTATACAGTCTCATTGGTACATTTTAGTTTGACTTGCTGATGCTCTAATAAGTGGTAGGTTTAGGGGTGGGGTTTGAGGCCACGCCTCTTTTTAAAAAATAGCATGAATATGTATGAATTAACCACTTTTCTGACAATTCGAAAAATAGGCCTGGGAAATATGCGGTCAAAAACTCAATGTTGGTCTAGTTAACAAATTAATATGTTTAAAATGTGAAATAAATTTTTTATAAACAGGACAAAATCATGAGAAACATAAAAAATATAAACTTTAGATGAAATTGTGTAGATTGTAATGTTTACTACATACTACGTTTGAATCTAAATGTATTATCTTTCTATTCCTAAAGATGTTCAGGGACCAAGCTCCTATTTTAATGCATATAAAACTTCTTTGCTTACTTGCACCAATAATAATTATCTATGCTTACTGAGAAATGTTCATTTTCATAAAGTGGTGTGTGTGTTTCTGCTGTATATGCTCTGTATATGTGGTAGTTATGCTGAACACCTCTGCTTTATTTCTAGTCAGTAACTGTAGCTTGTTTCAGTGTGATGGCACCGCAGCATTTCTAACATCAGTTCAGTTGTTTTTTTATTAATACTGAGGTTTTATTTTTATTGTCAACTTCATTTAGTAAACATTAGCATAACGTTTCTAATATTTAGTAAATATTAGCACTTTCAATAACGATGTTAACCGTAGTTGCGAGCCGCTGAACTCCTCTTCATGGTATTTTATTTCCAGATAATGCTTCTGAATGTATGAATCAATGCATGATGTGATGAGAGTGGTGTGTCCGAGTGTGTGTGTGTGTGTGTGTGTGTGTGTGTGTGTGTGTGTGTGTGTGTGTGCTGACAGTAGAAATCCTCCATAATTATCCCGATGCATTGGGTTTTCCTCTCCCTGCGGTGTCAGAGACATTGATCTGATGATCTGCTGGTCCACGTGCGTGACGCCGGTGTTCTTTCAGGTCCTCTTCCGGTCACTGATGCAGATTGTGATCGTGCTGGAGGCACAAACACACACACACACACACACACACACACACACACACGCACACACGCACACACAGATACTGTAGAAAATGCTGAAAACTGAGCAGATCTGACCTGGTGTGTGTGCGTGTGTATGCGAGTGAGTGTATGTGTGAGTGGGAGCACTAGTGTGTGTTTGTGAGTGTGTGCGTACTGTATATATGTGAGTGAATGAGTGAAATGTCCATATGTGTGTGTGTGTGTGTGTGTGTGATGTTGAAGCTCTGATCTTACTCGCATTAGACAGCAGGCAGTATATCTGATATCAATATACAGTGCTTTCCCAGCATTAATGACTGGTCTAAATGTCAGATCCATTGCCTAATTAATTATGCGCTACAGGAAAATGTAAATAATCGATACGGCTAGGTTAAAAAGATCTTCATTCATTCATTTTCCTTCGGCTTAGTCCCTTATTTATCAGTAGGAATGAACCACCAACTATTCCAGCATATGTTATAGACAGCGGATGCCTATCCAGCAGCAACCCAGTACTGGGAAACACCCATACACACTCACATTCACACACACACTCATACACTACAGCCAATGTAGTTGATCAGCTCCCCTATAGCGCATGTGTTTGGACTGTGGGGGAAACCGGAGCACCCGGAGGAAACCCACATCAACACGGGGAGAACATGCAAACTCCACACAGAAACATCAACTGACCCATCCGGGACTTGAACCAGTGACCTTGCTATGAGACCACATTGCTAACCACTGAGCCACCGTGTCACCGCCCTAAAAAGATCTTGTTTTATGTGTTTTGTTTTGTTTTTGGACACATCACAGATTGTTTTAGTTTTTATTTATTTTTTTTATTCTAAATTGAAATCTCCTCATATATATCAGAGTTTTTAAACCGTTTTGTGGATAATTATTCTATTAAATATGATAATATCTGAACAAACTCTTCAGAATGTAGATGTAATAAACTATTTGGTGTGTGTGATCAGAATATAGATCAGAATGTGAACTCTTGGTTATTTGCTGTTTGTTTCTGCTGTCAGGATGGATCATGACTGGCAGGGCAGCAGGAGAAGTGGCCACCGCAGCAAACACAATGAAGATGAGGAAGGTGAGACGATTTATATATCAACACTAAGGGTGTCACGATCCTCCAAATCCTCGATTCGATTACATTTTCGATTGTAAATTCACGGTTCGATTCGATTTTCGATTATGAATAATTAATGAATTAATAACGAATTAATTATTTGTAGCCTACTGTTTAAACTACCTGACCTGCATGGTCTTTGTTTTACCCATAAACAAATCACACAGTAAATGAATAAAGGCAAGATACACACATAATTACCACCTGTCAATCACTTTTTCTGCGGGACTCGTGAATAGGCAGTGATCTGTGTCGTTATAATGGCGTCGGTAAAAAAGACGCACAACCAACATGAACCAGCCAACAGTATCTGAGGTGTTCGCTAAAATGACTAAGTACAAGTGAGTGAAAGATTGAAGCAGTCCTCTGACTGCCTGGACCTGCTGTCTCGAGCGCATGGCTGTGAGTGCGTCTGTGTCTGTGTGGTCACGTGATGTGCATTTTCAGAGGTAGAGAGGAAGGAGGGCTGCTCAGAAATGCTACACGCCACTGTGGATGTCAAAACGTTGTCGTTCTAAAATGCCATTTATAAACAAAGACATATTAGTGTAAACAGGGCCTGAGTGTGAACTTTTGCGAGTGGATTTGCAACGGGGGCGGGGTGGAGGAGCGCGATGCCGGTGTTGTCTATCGGACCAACTCTAATATGTACATAGCAGAGCTTGCAAAACTGTTTTTTTTTTGTTGACTCACTGGAAGAAATGCTTCCACACCGGCGACTTCATTGAAAGAGGAGAGGGTTTAAAGGGCCATGACACCCCCACTTTCGGTTAAAGTCTACTTCAGAATTTTTTTAAAAGATGCATGATTAATGGGCGGAGCTCCGCGAGCATCGGGCAGGAGTGGGCGTGGCCAGCAGGGGAGAAGGGGAGCGAATAACTGTTGTTGACAGTCGGCTCACAAAATGAGACACAAACCGTGAGGAGACGCATGAGTTTATAGTTCACAAAGTTAAAATGCAAAAAAATGAACAGTAATGTAATGCCCTGCTACATTTGTTATTCGTAATTTCATAAACACATAACCATAATTTATATCATTATAAAGATAAGCGTGTTCATGTAAACACTATAAATGAGGATTCTCCCTCAATCCCCGGGTCTATTATAGATCTGAATGCATACTCAGTGCAGCAGGTCTCCTGACCCGTCTATTTTAACCATTAGCCCTGCTGGTAATCTGGAGGATTTAGGCAAACACAGCAGCACAGTGATGTGTCTGAATGTGAACAAACTCCTGATAAACGTCCGCCATTCTCTAATTCTCGTGCTGCTCTCCCGACAAAAATGCTAGCAGCACACACACAGCTTTGCTGTATGATCGGCCCAGACAGGATCGCGGGGAAAAAAACATGCAACAAATCCCGTGGATCATGGAAACAAACACATACGAGCCTTCATGAACGGCTACTGCGTGCCGTGGGTCCGTGACTCCATGTCTCACAGCTTGCTTGAAACTGGCAGGTCTGCCTTCGGAAAGCACGTGCTGTCATGAATAATTAAGCAGCCGGCTCTTCTCATAGGATAAGAAAACTCGGCTATGAATAATAATGAGAAACTGACGCGTCATCATTGCACTTGCAGTACTGCGCTACGTCAACAATTTTCATCCGCCCCAAAAATCATTTAAAATCCGGAAGCTGAAATCAGCTGACAAAAGCTCAAAATTATCCAGTTTTCCCCACAATTAAAGCTGACAGGTGCTAACATTAGCCCCTTTCACACATACAGACCTTTCCGGAAAATTACCGGCAATTTTCCGGAAAGGTGTGTATGTGTGAACAGGCCCTTTTTGAAAATACCGGTAAATTCGTTCTGGCTATTTTCCGGAAAGAGAAGTTGTAACATTACCGGCAATTTGCCGGAATGCTGTGCTGTGTGAATGCAGAAGGAAGATTGCCGTAATAAGCGCGTGCACGTCTAGAACGTGCTGACGTGAGACGTCTGCTTTAGCCAATCACAACAGTCAGACGCATTTACGTCCGCGCGGTTTGTGAGGATAAAAGCCTTTGAATATTTTTCCAGACACATTTAGCTGCTAGAAGTTAGTCAGATCACGTTTATATGTTCTTCTTTATGCCAACTGTGTAAATAATCATCGATGAGATGCTTATGATAAGCCGTTGTTTGTTTACCTTCAAGCTTTGCGTGTGCCTGTGAAACAACCTGTGAGCGCCTGCACACGCACATATTATGAACATCTCGACATGCGAATATGATCCTGTGAAAGTTGTTTAAAGTATTGATCATCAAAAGAGTATTTTAGTCAAATGTTTACAAACACAAGCGCAGCCGTTTAAAGCTCATTTGTGGTGAATGATGTCAGAATTTACCGGTATTTTGGAATGGATGTGTGAATGCTCTTTTCCAGAAAATTTCCGTAACGTCCTCGCCTGTGTGAACAGCGCTTTTTTGTATATACCGGTAAAGTCGTTCCAAAAATTTTCCAGAAATTTACCGGTATCACTGTGTGAAAGGGGCTACTGTCTTAACTGATGCTCAACACACACACATCTGTTAATATAAAAAAAGTTCTCCAGAGTGTCCTGAACCTTTAAGCTCTGTCGATGGGTCTCCTGCGTCTGCACAGTTTAACAAGCACTTCAACAAGCGTCTTTTTTCCCCGCTTGGCAAGCCAAGCTGACATGACATGGGGGCGTGGCAGCATCGACGATTCTATTTTTTGATTCGATAATTGAAATTAAGCATAAATTTCGATCGATTTAAAATCGATATCGTGACACCCTTAATCAACACAATACTTTTTTCAAAATGAATGCTTCATTTGAAGATGGCTGTGATATGTGGAACTGAGTATTTATAGTGGCTTAGGATTCATCTGATTGCTGAATCATTAATTGGCTAATGCATGGCCAGCCGTGTTTAATCATAAGCACGTGCTCCTCTCCAAATTAGTTTAGAAATAATCTTCACTTGTTGTGTGTGTTGCCTCCTCCTGTTGAATCGCTGAATGTCTCCTCAATTGTAAGTCGCTTTGGACCAAAGCATCTGATAATGACTGTGTGAAATGTAAATAAACATCGCTTTTACAGCAGAGCTTCACCTGTGTGTGTTTGTCTGCTTGTAGAGTCCGTCTACATCGGCGTTCCTGTGCCCAGGAGCTACAGAAGGAAACGCAGACATCGCAAACACGCGTCACGACATTCCCACGATCGCGATAAACACCATAGTCGACATGAACACGCGGATCCAGAGGAAAACTGCGACCCTGAGGAGGCCGAGCAGGAGAACGAGCTCTCAGATGTCAACTCTACCGGTAAGAATCTGTAAACACTACTACAGTATAACTCTACGTTTCCATAACAGCGTCGAATCTGCGCACTGTACTGCTGCAAATGATACAACGACACGACTCTAGGGGCGTCTCAGATACAGGGCTAAACAGACTTGACGAAAACAGTCTGCAGAAACAATTTGATTGACACTCTATTTGTACGTGTCATCAGCGAGGGAAAGCCCCCCCCACTAGTGCCCATCTCTTCACCTCATTAGCATAAACAGCAGCCCTGAGTGAGAAGCAGCTGTCTGTCTATTAGCCGTTAGAGTGTTTGCATCAAGCACACACCTGACCAGCATTGACAACACAGCTAGTGCTGTTTTACATCTGCCGCAGCATTTGTAGCTCCGCCCTCTTCTAAAAAGAGCTCAATCTCATTTGCATTTAAAGTGACAGTCACCAAAACGCTACAATCAGTATTAAAGCCTGAAATGGTCAGTTTCAGAGTTAGAACACATAGTTGGTTGTGTATTCTGAGCTTCGTGCATGCACTCTGGGGACATCACAGATATATTTGTCATCTTGTTAAATGGGGCAGATTAGGTTGTCTTTAAAGGAATGCAGGGAGAGGCAAAATACAATTAAAAAAATTGTATGCAAAACCAAAATATCAGAATATTCATACGTGTATTATACCACGGAGATTGTACCGAATGCTTCAATATTATTCAGAGTATTGCAGCATCCCCAGTGTGTACACATTTATCACACGTGCATTGTTTAATGGCTGTTTTGAGGAATTGATGAATGCATAAACACACAAGCACACATGGGGCCTGTTTCAGTAAGGAGGTTCAAACAACTCAGAGTTTAAACTTGAACTCTGATTTGATTTACCGAGAGATTAAAAACTCTGAGTTTTCGGTTTCAGAATAGCTGATCTGAGTTGGGTCAATCAACTTTGAGTAGACCAACTCAGAGTTAAGCGCGCACACCATGACTTTAAAAAGGCATTATCAATGGAGCCCAGACATTACGAGTGACTATGGCAATATCTTATAAAAGAGATCACCATTTCTTTCTCCAGCTGAACTTGATGTTCTCATGCAAAGTTATAGCAAATATGAGTGTATATATTTGAAAAGAAGCAACCATCAGTGAAGAAGAGACAGTTAGCGTGAGAAAACAGCTGCTCAAGTTAATTTCACTTTTTAAGTTTTTAAATATTTAAGTATAATAAAATAAGTAATGTAATCTGTGAGATTTATATTTTTTTCTAAACTTTTTTATACATTTATTAGTTTTAAATGATGTAACTTGTGTGTCTGCCTTTTTTATTGATCAAGTGATAGAGGTTAATATAACATTTAGAAGGTAAGCAGTACTAAAAATAATTTTTAGAAAGAATAATAATCCCATTAATCTAGTTACAGTGCATGTCGAAGGTGATATTAATTTAATTATTTATTAAAAAAGGATAAGCCATTCTAGTACAGTTCTTCTGTGTGTGACTAAAATGTAGGCAATAGCTATGTTTCCATCCAAATATATTACATAAATGTATGTGCAAAACTGGAATATTGCATAAAAGATGCGAATAAAATTCCATCCAACGAGTCAAAGAGAAAAAAATCGTCACTTCCTGATTAATCTGGCACCAAATATCAACAGTAAAAACAGAATTTACTGTGGTAGAAGAAGCTGCGTCAATTAATTCTTTATTTAGCCTAATTAATGCACTTGCGCCTCGATGTCAGAAGACAATGCTGAAACACAATGAACACGTGGGGGCGTCTGAAGCCATGAGACGCGGAGACTCTTGACACGCACCAAACGTTCGGAGGTAATTAATAATATACACTAATACTGAAACAGTTCAGGCATTTTAGAATGACTAAAACAATATTTAAGACATGTTACAGTGTGCTCAGCCTCCATTTACACACATTTTCATCATCATATAATCATGATCTTTTTTTTAAATGTACATACTGTAATTTGTTCAGTAAAAGTGTTTCCATCGTAGTGTATGTGCACATTTTCTATCGAATGAAAGTTTATCCTACTCAGTTATGCGCGTTTTTTATGCATATTTTAAAAAGTTATGTGCATCATGACGTTTCTATCAATCGTTTTTATGCACATCTCCAAACTGAGCATTAAAATAGGTGGGTGGAAAGGCTAAGGCGAGAAATACCACTTCATCTTTAAAAAAGGGGAGGAGACCGACAGAAACTCTGAGTTTAGAGAATAAAACCTGCTCCGGACCAGGTTAGATTCACAGAGTAAGTTACCACAGTAACTGACTCTGAGTTAAAGTTACCTCTCTTTCAGAAACAGGCTTGACTTACCCTGCTTTCTCGAGTTTAACAAACCTGCCATTTTGAAACGGAAAACCCAGAGTTTCTCTCATTTCAGGGTTAAAATACTCTGAGTTTTCACTTAACCTCCTTTCTGAAACAGGCCCATGGTGTTTTAATTATGTTTGTGTAAACTGAAGTGGGATGAAATACATTCTCAAAATAAGGGGATTTCAGCTCAGTAATCCATTGCATAAGCTCATTGTTGGGTGTGTTGCAATTTTGAGACGAAAGACTGCGCCATTAGCCGCGTTTCCACTATCGCGCCTAAAGCGAGCGAGCCAGGGCGAGCCAAGGCCAGTGGGGTTTCCACTGTCACTTCCGGGGCCTAATCGGGCCAAAGCGGGGCTTTCTTGGGGCCAGCGGCCGGCCTTTTTCGGCCCGCCGAATACCTTGGGCCAAGGAGGGCCAGCTGGGGCTTCGGGGCGGAGATAAAGGAGAGGCGGGCAGTTTTCTGATCGCACATGAGTACATGCGCCAAACAAATAAAGAAATAAGGGAAAGAAAACATCTAGCCTTATAGTCTGGGATCTTTTTGCGTATAATAAAGTAGTTTTAATTTATAGTGACGTTCTTTGCTGCGTCCTCCTTTATGTTTAAATAACGCATAATAATCTTTACACCATATTAAAAACACATCAGACAGTAAAGGTTTTCGAGAGTTTTTGTCAAGTTTAAAATGTTTGATTGTTTGTGCACGTTTAGATGCCAGTATGTGTGTGAGACCGGGCAAAAGCGCTCCTTCACAGCTCTAGCCGCGAGCGGCTTTTTTCTTTATTTATTTTGGAGATAATACACATATAAATACAACAGAAAGACATAAACTTAACAAAATACGTGCCCACTTTCGTAGACTTTAAACAATATATTGTCATATCTTGATAAAATAGCCTAAGGTATATTGAAATATAATTTAAAGAATTACAAATACCGGATATGTATAAAATCACATTAAATAAATTAACCAATATAAAATAAACAAAAGCTAACTATAACAATGTAGGTAGCCTATATACAATACATAAATCAAACCGTTTTAAAGCCACATATAGCCTAACTTTCATTTTGCAAAGACCTGTCTGAAAAAAAAAAAAAGATTTTCGATATTTTTTAAAAACAATAAACACCGGAGAAGGTTTGAAATATTTATATAAAGTAAATATTTATATAAGTAAATATTTATAAAGTATTTGGATACGATGATATTAATCAAATCGCGCAAACAGAGCATAATTTGGGTGAGTGAAAGCAGAATCTCCTATACCTTTTTTCCTGTCACTCAGTCCTGCGCAGCGCTCGCTGCTTTAAACGCATATGGGGGAAAGTCCAAACACAAAACGTGTTCTATATCCTCAAACAACTGTTTATGTTTTTATATGACGTGGTTAAATTTATAAATGAAACTTTAAATGAAGAGTTTTAGTGAATAGCTGCCGAGCGCAACAAATATGGCTATATTTTATTAGGCTTCTCGCTCTTGTGCTGAAAACTTAACACGACTTCTATCAACACGAGGATGTTAAAATATACATGCCATATCGAGTTATAAAGGAGAATTTCTGTGGCTTTATATTTTGGATGTGTGCGCTCTCTGTGTTGGGTCCCTGCGTTAGTGGCGAGAGCACTCCATGCACAATGCAGTCGGTCGGCGAGTAAACAAATGTAATGAATGGAAATACACAGGTCTGTGCGTATAGACATATAATGTACTGCTGTACAGTTACGTGTCGTTTGTTTGTTTCGGTTGTCTTCATTTTAATGGTTTCGTTTCGTGATGATTCTATGGTGTGCTTTATCTGCCTCATTCCCGCTGAAGTGGGCGGGTTGTGTGACGTTTGATTCGGGGACGTTCTGTGGGCGGTGTTTGCGTGACGCGCTGTGAGCTTTAGCCCGACAGTGGAAACGCGACATGATTTCAGCCTCATTTCTCAACCTCCCGGGCTATTGGCCCGCCCCGGCCCGATTAAAGCCCTGGCTCGCACTGGCCCGATAGTGGAAATGCGGCTATTGACCAACTAAAAGCTCTAAAGTCAACAGTGCACTTTTATTTTTGTTATTTAAAGGGCCATGAAACCCCCTCGTTTCAGCAGGGTGTTTTCACACCTCTACTTTGGAAAAGTTCTGGAAAGTGGGCGTGTCCAGCTCTGTTTAGGGGGGAGTGTTGGAGGAGCAAAAGAGGGATGATATGGGAGTGTCGATTTGGGCACGCGCTGATTTTCAGAAACACACACACACACACACACACACATGGGAGAAAGTGACTGTGTTTACTTGGACATCAGTAATCAAATTATTTGTCAAATGATTAAATGGTGGACTTTAACTGCAGTTTGGAACTTTCATTCAAGAATTTCATTCATGCTCCTCATGACAAACGAGATATTTGATTCGAGGAACTGCTCTAAGCTTGTATTTTTCATGCAATGTTTGATACCGCACGGCGAATGAGAGAAAAAAAACCTCTGCATTTCCCGGAAACTTAGATGCTCTCGGCAGGTAAGCCTTGTGTTTTATTCCAGTCACAAAATGCAGTGAAAATCCTACACAACGGTAATAGTTTGGTTGTGGTGCTAACATGTTTACACATGATACGATACAAACTAACTTTGCCATCTGAATAAACAAGAGCACTGGTCGCTCACTTACCAAATCTGTAGAGACTGGACAATCACCATCAAC